GGAGTGGGGGATGCGTGCAATAGAGCAGCTGGGGTGCTGCCAGGTTGGTCCTGCAGCCCCGAGGGGCAGCGCTACGAGACCAACCCGGCAGCACCCCAGCTTCTCTGCTCCCGGCTTCCCCGATTCAGCTGCTGGTCAGTTTCAGGAGCAGCTGAATGGGGGAAGCCTGTCCGACTGCCCCAGCACTTCCGGGTTCCTGATGGTGCTGGACCATCAGGAGTCCCGGAGCATTGGATGCCAGACTAATGGAGTTTTACTATATATCTTACAGAATAATCAAGCACCAGGAGCCCAATATCTGATTTTTGTCAAGCAAAAGTCTAGGATTACTATGAAAAAAATAGGATTTGGGGCCCTAATGGAGAGAAGAGCTAAAAAGGAAATAGCTTTACCATTAGTCTTTCACACTCAAAATTTTTAACTTAGAATGTTTCTTTAAATTCATTAGTTCTTGGGCTACTTTGTTTTGTGGTTTTCACTTTGTAGGCTAAAAATTGATTTTTTTTCTCTCACCACCCTGATCTCATTAAGTATGTATTTGTAGCCTAATATAAAAAGGCAAAAGAAGCATGTACAATTTTTACCTTTTATAGTCTTTTGTATGAAAAAGCAGCAACTATGGTGGCAATGAAAATATTGTCTTACATTTTTTCCAGTTATCTCGGGATGTAAAATCCCCTGGAGAATGGGGGGCTACATTCCCACTGGGTTGGAGTAGTCACCTTGTGCTGGAGTGGCCACCTTGCCGCAAGGAGGGTCTGCTCTGGACACCGAAGCAGCCCCTGTCTGCGGCAGGCTGGGAGCTGCTTCCGCCCCACTCGTTAAGTTGAACTGGTAAGCATCACCTGTTAAGAGTGATGCTTACCAGTTAACCGGTTAACCTTTCACATTCCTACAGTTATCCTTTGCTGTTGTAGTTCTGTTTAATGAAACCTTTTCATTCTCTCCCTAGTGCAATATCTCATTGAAAGGATGAAGAAATAATTATAAAATATGAACCCCCTGATAATTTCATTTTGAAAATTCCTATATTTTTGTCTGTCCTGAGTTTCCCCTTGTGGATGTTCATCAGGCAGCTGTGCACTGGATCCATGTGTTTCTAAGATTCCCTGGGTCTGGACAGGCTCCAAGACTGGCCCCTCGGGCACATTTCCTAGATATAGATTTTTGTCTAGTGCCACTTCTAGGGAACGGGATACACAGTCCAGCTACTGTAGGAAGAGCCCTGCAAATTTGCAGATACTTGCTTTATATGCACAGCTCATTTTTATGGATGCTGATACAAATTTTGTATCTAGAACCTTCCAAATTTGCAGATGATGGAGGAAGGTATCTGCGGCTCATTTTTGCAGATACAGATGCAGGTACAAATTTTTTTATCCACACAGGGCTCTAAGCGTAGGCTTTCAGGACCTCCTGACCAAGACACCCCGTTTGCCCAGACACACCCTCCCATAGAGCACCATCCTCATTTGATAGTTTAATCCTTCATTCACACATCAAAGAGAAATTTGCAAACCAGTCATTCTCTGCTTGTAAACAAAGCACAAGAGATGCATAGATCTATATCCCAGGTGTCCAACTAGTTCTGAAGCGGTAGCCTCTATAGTGGCTACTGGTATAGAAAGGGAGCCACACTCAACCAGCAAAATAGCCACATGTGGCTAGCGGCTAGCTTATTGGACACCATGGATCTACACAAAATAGAAGGAATGCCAGTATGTATTTCCTTCCTGCAGAGTCCTCTCCTCTCTTGAGTGTTGTTGGGCTTTCGGTGAGTTCTTTTGGGTTTGCAAGTGTTTGCTCCTGAACACTACTTTCCTATCTCAGGCTTCTTTTCCTGATCATGGAATCCTCTCTCTACTCCTGCAGCAAGCTCTCTTTTACCATGTTCAGTACCTGGTGTTGAAAGGTTTTCCCTTGTCAAAGAATTTTTATTCTTCAAAGTCTGTTTTAAAAAAAATGACTTTTTAAATACCATATTGGTTTGTTCCTCCTTTTCTGCGTAGCTATGAATTTTCCACTGATTATCCTACGCCTGGGCAAAACATTGCCCACAGGCCGGATCCCGCCCTTGGATACTGCATGGAGCCCCGGGTGGGCGCTCTGCTTGCCTCGCGCCACCCACACACCACTCTCAAATGCTACTTTGGGGCGGTTTTTCTTTTAAAAAATGAGAGCCCAGAGGGGAAGAGGGAAAACTTTAGCAGCTGCTCCAACTCCCAGCACAATCCCATTGGCTGGTTTCTGGCCAGAAACTAGCTAGTGGGAGCTGCCTGTTTCAATAACAGGCAGTCACCAAGCACAAGGGGCTCCAGAACATATGGCTGCAGCCTGTGCGGGGCCAGGACACGCATGCAGTATTCCCCTAAGTTGCCCAGGTGATTAATCAGCCCCACCCAATCAGAGGCTCAGGGCTCGGTGCATGGAGCTGAATGACTGGGTAGGGCTGATTAATGACCTGTGAGGCAGTGCTGCCGTGCAGCATAGAGGAACACTGGCTGTCAGGGAGGCAGATTCAGGAAGGGCTGCTGGCTGGTAAGTCTTCTGGCCAGACCCTGCCATTGGTACCCTATCATCTTCCTTCCCCAACCCTCTGCTCCCACTCCTGCCCCTTACTCCACATACGCAAATCCTCTGCTCCCCTCTTGCACCTATATTCCCTCCCAGATCTGGCATCCCAATCCTCTGCCCCAGATCAGCCCCCTCCTGCCCTAGCTCACAACCCTAATCCCTGTACCCCAGTTCCCTGCCGTAGGTCACAATCCTACCCCAGTCCAGTTCCCCAGTTCACAACTGCCTCCTTCACCCAAACTCCCTCCCTGTCCCCAGGCTACCTTCTGCACCCAGCCTCCATCCCAGACCCCCACACTTCCTCCATTAATATCATGGAAGAGTAAGGCCCTTGACCACTTTCCAAATTCTTGGTGTGGCTTCCCATAAAAAATTATTGCCCACCTCTGGATTAGCCCCTTCCCTAGACAACCTGGGTAGAACTGGCTTCCTC